GTTCTTTCTCTATTCATTAATATCATGTTACATCTCCAGGCCCAGGGTCGTTTCTTTTCCCAAATTTCACTCTTCCCCTTATCCCTCCTCCCCTTTCCACTAATCAGTTCACGAACCTATACCGTCATCTCCCCTCTGTCGCCACAGTAATGTGGGGTGCATTGCAGGAAAAACACAGGGTCATTAAAGAAGGGTTTACTTCCTAGGAATCACTCCAGGATGTAAGAGAAGTCATTCATTTTTTAAAGAAATTTTTAATGTTTATTTATTTATTGAGAGAGAGACAGAGAGCATGAACAAGGGAGGGGCAGAGAGAGGGAGACACAGAATCTGAAGCAGGTTCCAGGCTCTGAGCTGTCAGCGCAGAGCCTGATGTGGGGCTCAAACTCATGAACCGTGAGAGTGTGACCTGAGCTAAAGTCGGACGCTTAACCAACTGAACCAGCCAGGAGCCCCAAGAAAAGTGATTCTGCCCTTAAAGATTTCAAACTCAAATGACTTTTGTCTCTCATAAATATACTGGTTTCTCCTGACGGTTTTGAGGGTGGAGTCTCAGACTGTGGTGACCCAGGAGCTTTCACTAGCTGGGTCTCCAGGACGGATGGCCACACTTACCTGTGCCTTTCGCTCTGGATCAGTCTCTACCAGACAACCACCCACCCACTTGGGGCCCATGATGGCTTCTCCAGGTCCATCTCTAGGAACAAAGCCACCCTCACATCTCAGGGGCCTAGCCTGAAGATGAGGCTGACTGTCACTGTATGCTGTATATGGATAGTGGCATCCCACAAGGATCTAAATCTATGGGATATTACAACCAGAACCTCCTCATGGGCTCAGACTGGCTCAGCCCTTAGAGGCAGGGGAGAAAATTATGGTGGGGGGAGTAGTCAACACCACCAAGGAAAGGAGGCTCCCTGGTTCCATACTTGTGTCCAGTGGTTCATGACCACGTGCCCCCATCCCCCTTGTGTCAGGGTGAGTCCATTTCCCAGTGTCACACTACAAGATTGTGCTTCCTTCTTTCTTCTCTGCCTGTAGTGATGGAGAGGGCGTCCACCTCCCAAATGTATGAACCACCAGTGAGTCCCTGAGACCTCATTGCTCCCTGTGACATACTTCTTATTCAAATAGCATTAACAGCCATGGTCTCATTTATTAATTTGATTACAGAGACCAAATTAATATTGAATATTTCTTCATCTGAAAAGACAGGAGCTGGATCCACAGCACATGCCAGATGCATCTAGTCTGTGTGCAATGAAGATCATGAAGGAGAGAAACAGGTGGGAGAGTTCGTGTGTTACTGTTGTCTGAGTTACCCACACTTTTCACCTCTTCAGCTTTGGAGCATAATTTAATTTTCTGTGACAGGATATGCCTTTTTAATGGTGCAAAGTAAAAACTTCTCAAAACCTAATATTCACACTATGGTAGAATAAAAAATTACTTACTCATTTGGGAAGGATTTTATATCTGAGAAAGCAATCAATGTATGTCAGGAACTTGGGTCACCCCAAGTGCATGGGTGTTTGAGGACTAACAGTGAGCAGTCTGTCTGAACTGACCCCAACATCATTTCTACCCAGAGCAGCAGTTTGACCAGTGGGCATAGGAGGTGATGTGGGCCTCCCTCGGGTCAGGACAGTGGGGTCCATCTGTTGTGTAATCCCCCAAATTTGCCAGGGTTGGGGCGTTGGTGTCCATGCAGGCCAGTGGGGTCTCAGCAGCTGTGTCCCCTCTGGCTGGGCAGAGCGTCCTGCTCTCAGGTCTGTGGAAGATCCCAGCAGCTTCTTTTTCCTTGGCACCTCTCATGGGACAAACTCTGAGACTCTCCCTCAGACTCGAGTCTATCTAAGAACTAAGCTCGGACTTCAGCTCATGCTCAGGATGGAGCAGATTGTCTAACAGGAAAAAGTTCATGTGAGCAGTGCTCCCCTTTCAGGCCACTGGAGAAGACAAAAGAGACCTGGTCACCCAGCCCCAGCTTGGATCTCAGGACAGCAGTGTCCCCATCACCTGGTCTGCTGTCCTCCTCATGCTGCCCTCTCACTGGTCACACAGGAACAAGCCTCAGAGACCTGAGCTTGGCCCTGCGACAATCAGGTGATGGGAAGGATTAGACAAGAACATGATTGTCAGGCAGGGATGCTGGTGTCGGATCACCAGGGAAGGAGCTGGAGTGGGAAGAAGAACCCGCACGCCTAAGTCTAAATCACGAAAGGAGACAAGGGAGGAAGGAGCAGGTAGGGGGTGTCTGGGACCAGAGGTCTGAGCATGTCAGCAGGGATGACGAAGGTCGTGGGGCCTGGGGACATTAGAGAAGTCTGCTTCCCCCAGGTAAGGCCTGGCTCAGAAACCTCTGAGCTCATGCTTGCCTGGAGCTGCCCAGGGGCAGTGGGTCTGTCAGTCACCTGGTGTCCTCCCTGCAGGGTCTCCTGGGGTGGGGGTCACCGAAGTCTGCACCTCCAGGGCCACCGCCATCGCCATTTGCTGTGTGCCATCCCCAGGACAGGGGCCGTGCCCTCCTCCCTCTGCATCCTCTTCCATCTGGACCGCAATTAAGTCACAGCTAAGGTGTCTGAGGACATTAGAGCCTGAGTCTCCTGCAGGTCCCTGCAGGCACAGAGACAACTACCTCTGCCCCCAGCTGCATGCTGGGAGGGAATACTTTTTGGGAGATTCGCACCTCTTAACATTCGGCATTTCTCGGAACATAAAACAGTCCTCAAACTCTCTGTCCCCTTTGGACCATCTCCAGCATGTTTGTTTCCCCGGTTCCTTCTGCTCCAGTGACTGGGCCCTGTCCTTGACCCCATTATATTCCCACTGCCTGACACATGTGGACATTCCATGTAAATCTGTTTATGGAGTGAAGGAATAGGACGCGTGGGTGGCTCAGTTGGTTCAGCATCTGACTCTTGATTTTGGCTCAGGTCCTGATCCCAGGGTTGTGGGATTGAGCCCCATGTTGGGTTTTCACTGAGCATGGAGCCTGCTTACGATTCTCTCCTCCCTCAGCCCCTCTCCCCCACTCCCATGTGCTCTCTGTCTCTAAAATAAAACACATTAAAAAATGAGTAAGTGAGTGAATGAAGGAATGAATGGATGGATGGATGGATGATGCAGACTAAGTCCTCAAGCAGGGAGTTAATATAATGCCCGCATCCTTCCTACAGGGAAGGAAAGGTGTCCCTCATCCCTGGTTGTCTGTGATGTTTCCACACCTTGTCACATGTCACACCATGGACGTCATATGACAAGTGACAACAGACCCATCACCTGCCCTCCACCTGCTCTCTCACCCGATGTCACCTGTGTCAATCAAGGCATGCCTGTCTCTGTGGGCATCACCCTCCCTTCACCTGACACTCTGGACCATCCCTCCTTCCCCCGAAGCCTGGGGCCCAATAGGTCCACTCCCTGTGTCCCACCTGGGGACAAGTACCATTTCTCCCTTCCTTGTTTCCTTTGCTGTCATCCTCCTCCAGCTGACCCCCAATGTCCCCTTGTAGTCCTCCCTGTGTCAAATTCTGTCCTAAACTTGGAGCTAAATCTCTCATGAGCAGTACTGACCAGAGGCGCAGCCATGATTAAAAATCTCCCAGCACATGGTGAGGAAGTCACAGGATGGCTTCGCAGTGGTCCTGCTGGACTCGCTGCCCTGCACTGTCCCCACACCTGTTGCAGCCTCCGCAGAGTTTACTGTGTCCTATCTGCCTGGCTCTGGAAGGGCCCAGATTTTCACAATCTGTGTGTCCTCCTCTGTGAAGGTTTGTGACCGCTCAGCAAGTTCCTGTTCACACTCATCACCCAGAGTCAGCCTGCCTCATCTGAGCCCCCTGCGGGGGCAGATCCCCTCTGCTCTCTGTTCCCTTTGTCTTGTCATCAGCTGCACAGGGAATCATAGGCTGTCCGGTCAGGACTGTGCCTGTCCCTCCCGCTACAGCCCCACACAAGGAAGAACCCCGATCAGGGCAAGTGCGCCAGGACTGCACCTCCATCCTCCCTGGAGGGTTTTTCTCACGTGGTGGAAACAGGCATGGGGGAAGCAGGTGAAGGAGAGCTTTGGAATCAATGGGAAAAAATGAGTCGTTTGCCCAGAGAGCAGCAGGGGGTGCTGTGAGACCAGGTCTGGGGGTCTCTTTGCATGAGCAGCCCCTCCTCCGTGAGGCCGGTGGACAGGGGATAAGAGAGACCCGGGGCAGCCCAGCCCCAGCAATGTGGTCTAAGGAGGGGCTGTGTCACCATGGTCTGGACCCCTGTCCTCCTTGTGTTCCTTTGTCACTGCACAGGTAGGGACAGGACCCAGTCCCCCAAGGTGGGCGGGCCTCCAGCCTGAGTCAAATCCCTCTGGCCCAGGTCCCTAAGCAACAGCTGCTTGTCTGTTCTCTTCATTCTGATGCATCTGTGTTTGCAGGTTCCTTGTCCCAGCCTGTGGTGACCCAGCCACCGTTCCTGTCTGCATTTCCTGAAACACCTGCCAGACTCACCCGCCCTCACCCTGACCAGTGGCTTCAGTGTTGGCAGCTACCACATATACTGGTACCAGCAGAAAGTGGGGAGCCCTCCCTCCCTATCTGCGCAGGTTCTACTCACATTTAAATAAGCACCAGGGCTCTGGGGTCCCCAGCCGCTTCTCTGGATCCAAAGATGCCTTGGCCAATGCAGGGCTTTTGCCCATCTCTGGGCTCCAGGTTGAGGACGAGGCTGACTCTTACTGTGTAATAGAAGGTGGCAGTGGGAGCAGCTATGCTTACGCACAGTGTCTCAGATAATGAGGAAAATTGGACAAAATCCAATTGGTCTACAGACCTTGTGTCTGAGCCTCATTTCATTGATAAACTTACCTGGAGACCTACAGTGGGGACCCTTCTATGGAAAGATCTCTCCTTGAACAAAAGAAGGACAAACACACATGCTATGCCTGTAAAGTGACACAGCCCAGGACGTCCTAGGAAGACGCTGATGGATGAGGACGTATCAGAACACAACCGCACGTCCCCATGGGGTCTGGAGAAGATGAACAGGAATGAAAACTGTGTCTCAAATGAACCTGCTGCCCAGCAAACATTCACCAGTGTCATCACTCCCCCAGACATTCCGGTAACCCCTCAGCCAGGATGGACCTCTTTTGGAAAATCTGTTCCAGTGGAGGGCCGCAGGGCCTGTGACCTCAGGGACACAGCGTCCCTTATCTCCACCTCACCTAGATTCACATGTGGGATCTTTGACAGAAACTTCTGGGTCAAGTTGGCCTTGGGGAATAGAAATTCATTCCTCTAGTCATGGGTGGATGAATGGACGATTTATGCTGAACATACTGGACACAAAGAAGAGAATCCAGACCTGTGCACACCTCAGAGATGAGTCTGACCCCTCCTCAGTCCATCTTGGAAGTTGTGTTTAGTCATTCCATCACGGAGACGGCTCTGTAGTTCAGACAAACAGGCTCCTCGTGGTGTTCCCCTGGACACCATGTTGGGCCCTCCTCCTACTTGCAGGACAAGACCAACTATATAAAA